TGCCCTTTTCGAGAAGCCTGCGATAAACAGCAGAGCAGCTCAGCTTGTACACAGCTTTCCTCATATTTCATCGAAGACACTGCTTTAATGCACAGAAAACAGGCATGTCATCACTTATGGATCTGCTCATTTATTTAACCAATGTCCTCCTGCTGGATATTTTGATTACCTATAATTTCTAGCTCCTCTGAATAACAATATGAATGTCTGGATACCGCCTCTTCACCTCTTCGCATCTTATCTGATTATTTCCCTGAGATAAATTCTTAGAAGGGGGAATGAATAGGATCAGAGGGAATTTATACTTGGGAGCCTTATAATGCACTTATCAAAATTGCCCCCAGGAAGAACCTTACTCAATCACTGACATTCATTCAACAAACATTTCCTCGGTTTGGAGTGTCTCCTAATCTTCTCTCTTTCTGAGCACCAGCAACGCAGTGAAGTAACTGGGACCCAGCTAGCTGTGTGTTGGAAGCCTGGCTCTGTCCCTCTCTTCCCTGTATCACCTTGGGTAGTGTCCCCACGTCCCTGAGACTCTGCGGCTACCATCTCACCAACCTCCAGATTAATTGTGATAGCCCAAGATTTGAAAGACGTTTGAGGGCTGAAAACGTAGAAGGGACTTACGGCTAACACAAAGGGGGCTTCTCCTCTGCATTGTTGGTGTGTGATTTGTGCGTGGAACTCCACGTTTGCTACAAGACTCCTTGTTGTAACCCGCCCTTGCTGTGGTTACCAAGGCACAAATCCAGTGTCATTTCTTAAGGAGCCAACAGGCCCAGAGAGAATCGTTGGCTCTCTTTAGACCCCACGAGCCTTGGGACTGCTCCAAACTTGTCATCTGCCTGCTGTCTGGACCATATTTCTTTTTTCTAGACCATCAGCACACAAATGACCACTGGCCCCGAAAGACGTCCTTGCATTCACGATGAACCCAAAGGTGCCAGCGATTTAAGATCCTAGAGGCAATTCACCCTTTAATGCTTTGTCACCAAATACCACACAGGGACTTCTCCTTTCTCTTAGAATATTTGGAATCGTCTCTGAGGTTCTGCAGGGAGGACAGAGAAGGAATAAGTCTCAGGATTCCTTGAGTATTGAGATTGCTACTGTGCCATAGTGTCCGTCTCAAAGCCTGAAGACTATTGTCGCTCCTGAGCTGATCATTCATCGCGTCCCTTATCAGGCGTCTCCTCCACGTCAGACACTGTGCTGGGTCCTGGGTGGCTTTGAGAAAGTGAGTTCACCTCTCTGAGCCTTTGTTCTGGAGATCGGGAATCATAAATCCTGATCAATGAAACTAAAAGGAAAAGATCTTAAGAGAGAGACCTGGGTGCGTGGTGGAGAGGTGCTGGCAGACCTGAACCTGAGTAAGGCTCACAGCCACTCAAATGATCCAGCAGCACTGCTTTGTTCAAATATGTAGTTGTGTGTGGTAGATGGGGATACCCATGAGGGGCACCCCAGATCTTTCAAAAGGAAGCACAACAGCCCTCCCAGAGTAAAACTTCAAAGCATACAAATAAGGTGGGGTCAGTGATTCATATCACACAGGCCTGTGCCTTCCTTCCTCTGCCCATGGCAGACATTACTAATCAAACACACTGAACTTTGGAGAACTCCTCAGTAAGGAATTCCAGCCAATTACACCCAACAGAAGGGGGTTCACTAAGGCCATGAAAACTAGCCAATCCCAGATGTAATGGATCAGAGCACAATTACCTTTAACCACTTTCTTTGGGCGTATTTTCTTCCTGCAGCCCTGAGCACACAATGCCCTCTTCAAGACAATATTGTAGAAAGGCCATTTCCAGGCCCTCCCTCTCCTCCCCCAGAGAGTGTGTCCAGTTTAAAGAGACACTGGCCTTCCTACCAGATGTTGGGCCTTAAGAGAGGTTGCTTAGCCTCTGTGTCTCAGTTTTCTCAACTTTAAAATGGGGCAATCAGCCGGGCGCAGTGGCACATGCCTGTCATCCCAGCAGCTCGGGAGGCTGAGGCAGGAGGATTGTGAGTTCAAAGCCAGCCTCAGCAAAAAGTGAGGCACTGAGCAACCCAGTGAGACCCTGTCTCTAAATAAAATACAAAATAGGGCTGGGGATGGGGCTCAGTGGTCGAGTGCCCCTAATCCCAGGTACCCCCAAAAAATGTTTTTAGTGAATAAATAAAATGGGGCAAACATCAGCACCTCTTCATTTGGCGCATGAGAGTATTCGATGAGATAGAGGACGAGGTGACGTCCCAGCCTTTGGGATCAGCTCCCTAAACTTTACTTATTAGCTGTGATCATGAAGCCCGTACCATAACTAGGCCTCCTCGAGCATTATCTTAATTGTGTCTTTTAAACAATCCTGTGAGGCAGGTTCTGTGCTGTTAACTTTTTAAAAAACTAATTGTTGTTGATCGATTTGCACGAGCATCTGGCGTTTGTTGATTGAAAAAGCATGTCATGAGGAGTCGGTTGAGTTCCTGCGCCCACACCTTCTCCCCAGGCAGAACTCGCCGGGCGCCAGGAGAAACGCTGTGCGTCAAATGTGACAACTGGATCTGACGGGACTTCAAGCAAGTGATGCAGAAATCACACGGCGGAGGCAAGATTCGAACCCGTGCTTTTTGGCTTCCAAGTGCCACCAGACTTCCTCTGGCCTTTCTGTTCACCCCGATGCCCCTGCCACACATGGTCTATTAGAAAACAAAGATGTAAACCCAAATAAACAAACAAACAAAAATGACATTTTGCTGCCAGTCTGTGCCAGGTCATGCCTTCAGCTTTCCTCCCCTGCTTTATTCCGCTGTCGGTGCCCTTGGGATTTTCTTTTCCTGGTACTGGGGATTGAACTCGGGGTACGTGCAGGCTAGGTATACACTCTGCCACAGAGTTATGGCCCTGGCTGCAGCTGACTGTTGGTATCCCCATTTTTCAGGAATCTCAGAGACCCTCTGAGAATTAAACAAAATAAAGGCATTTGAAAGAGCAGCTCTGACTTAAAGTTCCCCCTACCTCCCACCAGCCGTGGGAACCTAAGTCAGTTAGGGCAACTTCATTGAAGATGAAAATAATGGTCTCCACCTCACCCCGCCATCCCTCCTTCCTTCATTAAACATGTATTGGACATCTAATGCCAAGAACAGTGGTATGCACTTGGTATATACTAAATACCGAAACGGGCATCATCTCTGATCTCTAGGGAGCTTCTAGGCTGTTATACCAGCAGCTCGGGAGGCTGAGGCAGGAGGATCCCGAGTTCAAAGCCAGCCTCAGCAAAAGTGAGGCCCTAAGCAACTCAGTGAGACGCTGTCTCTAAACAAAATGCAAAATAGGGCTGGGGGTGTGGCTCGGGGGTCAAGTGTCCCTGAGTTCAGTCCCTGGTACCCCCACTCTTAGCACAGAGTCTGGCAAATAAAACATGCTCACTAAAAATTAGCATTGCCATTACTATTAATATGGCCCAGCCAGGGTTTGAACCAAAGTTCTTTTCCATCCAAAATTCCTCTCCACAGAGATCAGGTTTTGTAAAAGGCTTGCATGAGATGGGATAAGGAGAGGACTGGAGCTCTCTAGAAGACTCCAAATGCTTGATTTTTAATAAATACAGTAGCAGCCCACCTCGTTCCTTATACTTCCATAGCATTTTTAGATCTTCTCCTTCTCCTTCTCATCCCAGAACCAGCCCGATGTGCACGTCTTTGGATTTCCATAAACACAACCCTCTCTGTGGGAATAAATTTAATCCTCCCTCGAATGTGGACCCCTCTGTGTTTGATTTGCCTGGAAAGGTGTGGAAACTACCCAGACACGGTGCTAATGGGATGTGACAGGGACTCTCCGCTCCTCCAGGCCTGGAAGGAAGAATGTTGATGATGAGGAGCTTTAATGAGCTTCCACCCACATTTCAATTATCCTAACAAGCTGCCGGAGGAAGTCCTGCTTGCCACACTGCATTCTGGAAAGTTTTGACAAGCCCGGGGGGGAAACTAGCCAGCCTGAAATTGAGTGTGCCTGAGGAAGGAAACAGTTGGCTTTGTCAGCCGCTGTTGGAGAGGGTCCCTCATTCCCTGTCCCAGAACATTTGTATTGGTCATCTATGACCACAATGATGCTGCGTAACAAAACCTCATCGGCACACAACAGCAATTATCTTCAACCCCGTCTCATCCCACCCACAGGTTTGTTCACAGGGCAGCTGACGGCTCCCTAGAGAGAGGCCAAAATCATGCAGGCTCTCTTGTTCCCAGGCTCAGAAGTAGCAGGGATCCTGGCATCTGACTCCAGCCTGTGACCTGTATGTTGCATACTTTAGTCCGCCTGGAGCCCAACACAATCTTGGGATAAGGAGAGACAAGAGCAAGGAAACAGATGTTCGGTCCACGGTGGGGAGACCCAGGAGGCAGGAGTTTGTGGTGACGCCAGGAGACACCCAGACACCAGGATGGGGTCCAGGATCCTGGAGAGAATGCTCCCAACCGGAGCAGGAAGAGGCTCTGATGTCCGCCACCTGGCATGAGATCGGGGGCTGAGGCTTCACAAGGGCAACTGCAGGATCCCTGCTATTTCAGTGGCTGCACAGTGGGGAAGTCACTCAAGGGGGCCCCAAGGAACTCACCATACACCTCGAAAAATGGACTTGGCTTTGGCCACTGGCCAAACCCAGCAGAACTGGGAGTACGTGCCATGCAGAGAAGGTCAGCACCCAATCCTGGGCGTGCCCATCAAGGGAGCCCAGCCCCCACCTCCCTGCTTCCTCAGATCTTCAGCCAGGAAGCAGAGAGAAGGTGGGGACCCAGGACAGCCAACCTCCACCCCTCTCCCCAGTGTTGGAGCTGAGAGAAGCGTGATGCGTGTCCCAGAACATTTGTATTGGTCATCTATTACCACGATAATGCTGCGTAACAAAACCTCCACATGTACACTACACCTTTGAACTCAAAGTAGTTCCCCCCCACAAGAGCTTGCCTTTCTTCTCTCTGAAGTTTGTCATATTACACTGCATTCGTTATCTATTACTGAATAATTAATTTCCCTCCCCAAATGTAGTAATTTAAAAACAATGGCATTTATAACCTCATGGTCTCTGTGGGTCAGGAATGAGGTGTGACTAACTAGGTCCTCTGGTGCAGGGTCCCTCACCAGATTGCAGTCAAGGCATTGGTGGGGTTGTGATCTCAGCTGAAGGTGGGACTGGGGCAGGATCCTCTTCCAAGCCCACTCAAGTGGTTGTTGGAAAGTTCATTCCCTTGAGGGCTGCTGGCCCGAGGTCCTTGCCGGGTGGGCCTCTCCGTTGAGTAGCTCACAGCATGAACTCCAATTTCTTTGGAATGGGGAAGAGAGAAGAGCCAGAGATAAAGCCAGATAGAAGCTAGACTTTTAGAATATATTCCTGGAAGAGACAAACCATCCCATTTACTGTATCTTATTCATTAGAATCAAATCACGGTCCCGGGGAGGATTTCATAGGTGGTGGATTCCAGGAGGAAGAGATCCTTAGACAGTCATCATAGAATTTTGCCTCCCAGCATAAGAAAATATACTGATTTTATTAGGGCAACCAGTGCCGTTAGCCAAAAAAACAACTTATAATAACTAGGTAGATCTACAACGTCTCTGGTATAACAATCCCTACTCGTCTTACACGGTGTACACCCTGTCGATCATATGCGGTTGCTTAGGGAAGACACTTAACATCTTTTTCAAGCATTTTCTTATGGAAGCTTTTGAAGACTTGCAGAAGTAGGGAAATAATTACCTAGAATAATACAGGAAACACAGCCATTCCTGGTTCGTGTACACCCCAGCCCTTTCTCCTAGCCATGAAGTTTTGTAAGGCATACGCAAGCCCGTCCCATCAGTTCATCTTTGGTGATTTAGCGTGAATCGCTACATAGCATTTTTACCCTTATACAATTCACAAAATCACTCCTTTAGCATTTGGACTTCTCCAATTATTTCAAAAATGTCTGTCTCTCTCTCTCTCTGTCTCTTTTTGTTTTGTTTTGTCTTGTTTGTTTGTTTCACACTTGGCTGGTTGAAAAGAAGCTCTAAGTCCCAGACTTTTAACCATGACTTAAGAGCAAGATCGTAAGGACGGAGACGGAGCCATTCTGCGAGCACAAATGACGGCAGATGATTCTATTACCTGGGCGTGACTCGCGAGATGAGGGACAGTGCTCAAGATTTTACCCAGGGGCGGGGAGGCGACGTGGAGAGGAGAAGGAGGCTGCTTCCTGCTTATTCACAACGTGGCCCCCATGACACAGGGGTCGTCTCTAATCCTCCCCACGGCCCTTCAGGGTTGCATTCCAATCCTCATTTTCACGGATGAGAAAATTTAGATACAGGAGAAGGAACTCGCCTAAGGTCACACAGCTATTTTTTGGATAGAGCTCATGACCCAGTTGGGTCTGTGCGACCTCCCCAGGGGCTCCGGAAGCCGCTGTAAGGGACACTGCCCTGGTTTCCAGGACATTAAGATCGTGTGGCTGCCTGTTGGCTTGGCGTTGGCAAGGAATGAACCAAGTGTGCGGCTGCTCTCTTTGTTTCCTTGCAGTTGGTACAGAAATGGGTATACAGCAGGTGCCTCATAAATGTAGCCCACAGAAAGCCTGTGTGGCCTGCTTCATCCCTGAGGCCACTACAGCACAGAACCCTGTCCCAGGAAACGCCAATTCTGACAGCCAGTCTGAATCCTCACTGGATCTTAAGTGGCTCCCAAAGGCTGCTACGGTGAAGGCTTGGTCCCCAGCTGGTGGCGCTGTTGGGTGGTGGGGAAAGTCACAGAATGGAGTCTGCTGGGAGGAATTTATGCCTTGCCCTTGAGGGTGAGATCGGGGCCCTTCCTCTCTCTCTCTCTGTTTCCAGGCAGCCATGAGATGAGCGGATTTTCTCCTCTGTGGGCTCCCACCATGGTGCTCTGCCTCGCTACAGGCCCAAAGGCCACAGGGCCAAGCAATTGTGGACTGAAACCTCAGTCTACAATTGACTTGAGCCCAAGCCAACCTTTCTTCCTTTTAAGTTGTTCATCTCCAGGTATTTTGTCATAGCAACTAAAAGCAGAAAAACACGCCCAGCCACCACCACCACTTTCGTCTCCTTGACAATAGCAGCAACGGCAGAGGCGGCAGCAGACGTCGAGGTGGGACAGATTCATGCCCACGTTGTAGGAACTCGCCTGACAATGTTCGATTTTACTGGGAACTAGGTGCAGAGAAGAATCCGGTAAGGGAGTTCCTGGCACTATTTTCTTGGATGGGGCCCTGATGGCCAGGTCAACTGCATTCTTTCACGTCATTAAGCCTCTTCAAGACCCATGACTTCTCTCTGAAACTATCCTTGCATTCCGCCCCCTCCCTCTGCCTGACAAGCTCCTGATCCGTCAGGCCCCACATAAATCTCATCAGCTCGCTGAGGCTTTCTCTGTCTTTCTGCATGAAGTTCTATCTCCCTCCCACGTGTACCTGTCACCTGTCCAATGAATCTTTCCCTTAGAACAATATGATGAATTAGGCAAAGACTGCATCTGCCTAATACCGGGAACATAATAGGTGCTCAATAAATGATTGTTCATTGGATTTTTTTTTTAAAAAAAGCAATGTTAAAATTATACCTATTGATGTCTCAAAATAAATCACGGAGAACAGAAGTATTTGTTTCATGAAATACAGCAAAACTTGACATTTACTCCCTTCTTCCTGTTGTGTACCCCCACCACCCGCTCTGCTAAAATGCCCCGTCTTTATTTTGTAAGCTTCCTAAAATCTCCAAATGCAGCCAGGGTCTCGGCCCTGAATTCTCTGTTCTGACAAAGGTCTCTCTTCTATTCATCACTTGGGCCCCTCTGTCTCTTGAATTTGCACTTCCCTAGTATCCAGATTCCAGAAAACAATGAAAGTCTGGAGACCGAGCTAAGCATCTTACCCGTCAGAAGATGGAGCAGGACTCTAAACTCCTAAAGGCATGCACTTGGGCCTGTTGGGTTCAGTGATTATTCTCATTGCCCCGGAGAGTACTTAGCGCACAGTCAGTACTCAGCCAAGATTCATTGTTGGAGTCTTGTCATTTTCTTTTAAATTTTTATTTGCATGGATGCAGAAGAAAAATAAATAGCCAAAGGTGTTTCTGGAGATGAAGAGACCTCTGTATTTGGAGGTCTCTGATGGGACATTTGCCTGCAGAGACAAGTGGCCACACCGAGTAGAACAGAGCCCCCGGTCATTCTGGAAGAGCCACATGCTGCTGAATCAGCGAGAAACAGCACTGGGGACGGCGGCTAGGTGCAGTTTGGCAGCGGGGCCGCAACTGGGCTGACAATTTCCTTCTGTGTTTCTGCATAATTGAATCAGCATCCACCGAGACCGCCTCCCAGACATCGGCCACCACAGTGCCACCGAGCAGGCCCGGCAATTCATCTGCCATCACCAGGGAGTGAATTGCCATCCAATCCCGCACCTCTCCTGGTTGCTTTGTGGGCCCTCGTTAGAGGAAATTAGGTGATGCGAGGAGCCTGGGAACAATGAAATTCTTCTCGGTCAAATCCCAGCAGCGTGTCCAGGCTCTCCTGATGGGGACTCGGGCTCACTCGGCCGGGTGCACACAAGCTCCCGGATGTGCTTCTAAATTTTGACCCGTGGTTACAAATTCGTGTCCCTCTAGCTGAGGACGTGGATGGTTAGGGAATCGAGGAAAGAAAATTTACAAAGGAGAACCATGATATTGACCAATCCTTAACTGGATGGTATCCAGACCAGGAATCCTAGAGTTCAGACAAGTCCAGGCCAATGGAACTGGCCAAAGCCAATGGCCAGGAAGATATGCTATATCCAGCACGGAATCCAGGGAGATAACTGGGGCTAGGAGCTGGGAGTGAAGAAGAGCCCTCAGCAGATGCTTCAGAACCCAGGTCATGAGCATCAAGAGCGGGTGCAGTAAGTGTCCTTTGGGGTGAGAAGTGGCCACTTGGAGGATCATGCCTTATTGGCTGGAGAAAATGACTGACAGCAGCTGGGGCGAAGAGTGGTATGCAAGAGAGAGCAGTGTCGGGGAGTGACAGGATCCCAGGCTGAATCCCAGTCCCATCGTGATTGACGGTCAAAGCCCTTCATCCGTAGGATCTTTCCTCTGCTTCCTCATAGAGAGCACAGGACACCTGTCCACGTTGAGATGGGGGTTGTACCCAGGACTCGAGGTGACTGAGTCAGTCTGGCTTTGTCTTCATCTGGGTTCCACCAATAAGGGACCTGCAGACACGGATCTGAGGGGCAAGCAGTCAGTTTGGGGTGTCATGGAAGAGAAGTGGGCAAATAAAGCAAGAAAGAGAAAGAAACCAAAACCAAACTGCTCACCAAGCCAGTTACTGCAGTTATTTCCACTAGAAATATCCCCATGGAAATCCCGGGAAACCACGCAGAACCCACGCCTCTGCCTTACCCCAATTCAGGAGTGAGGATCCGGGCATTTTAAGTGCCTGTTCCCATAAGTCCTTGGCTGAGGGCTGTTCGGGCAGGTGCTGACCACTTGGTATTTCTGGTCAGCCTGCGGAAGACTGGCCTTCCTCACCTTCAAAGAAACCCCAGGCACACGGACATCCATCCTGGCAACGGAGATTAGCCTTTTGGCACTGATGGGTGAGCCCCGAGGGAAGCTGACCACTTTTACTGTCAGAGTTAACAATGAGACATGATGTCCCAGTTTGGGCCAAGAACAAAACACTGAGTGCCAGGATCTTCCAACGTTTTAAAGTGAAATGCAAGACTCTTGACAGGACTCGTTTCCTCTTGGCCTTAACCTCAGCCTGCGCCTTTCATCTAATTCCAGGGCAGTAGAGGGTTCAAGGTGAAGTGTGGACCAAGCAGAGAAATGGAAGGAGGACTTCTTTTGATAGTCATTGGAGCGTTGCAACACCCTCATTTCCTCTCCCCGGCCCCTTGGGGGAGAAAGTGGGTGTGTTCTCCTCCCTGAAGTCCAGGGAGGTACTCAAAAATCTCGGTTTGTGTCCCCCAAAGAGAGGAGAACCCTATGGGCTGGAGTCTGACTTGTGAGCCAGCAGAGACCACGTTCCAAAGTCCACACACACTCTTCCAGAGAGAGTGGCCGTCTGCAGAGTCCCGCCCACAGCAGTTCCAGGGAAATGAGGACTTTGCCCCATCACTTCCCACAAGGCCCAGGGGTAGGGCGCCTGGCTGGTTGGGCAGCAGCATCACCCCTTACTTTGGGGGAAATGATGCAAGAAGCTGACCGTGCCCATTTCCCACTGCGGCTTCTGCCCACGACAACTCTGAGCAGCAGAAGTCTGACCACTGTCTTGGACATATTGATCACTGAGCTAAAGTGGATTGCAAGGTCACAGGTGCCCAAGACATTTTTTTCTACCTACAAACAAGAAGATGATCGAAAGATTCTGTCCGACAATCATTCGGCATCCCATGACTGCACAATCGGGAGCGGGGACAAAAGTAGCTTCATGGACAGTATCGCCCAAGTCCTGCCCTTTCCAGATACAGGTTATTTAGAGACCGTGTCCAAAGCTGGCATTGAAAAAGGCATTCCATAAATGGTAGCTCTCATCATTAGCTGCTCTGCAGGTGAGAGATGAAGCCAGAATCTCAGAGCCAAATGCCACTTGATGAATGTCCCTGGGCTGGACAGCACCTGGCCAGGGGGAGGAAATAAATGAACTGAGAAGAGAGCCTGGCCCCAAGAAAAGCAAGAGGGTCCCCTCTGCTCCCCACTGCCATGGGCCATGAACCCCAGGAAGGGTCCATTCACTGCGCACGCAGGGCGGGCTCTTGCTCGTTCCCTCCCGGCAGCCACAGGAGAGGGAGCCTTGCTCAGTATTCTTCCTGAAGCCAAATCTCAGGGTGGATTGGGGAGGACCGTGGGGTCAGGAGCCAGGGCTGTGGGCTCCTTGCATCAAAATGCAAAGAGAACTCGTTCACCCAGAGCTCAGAGCCCAGCCATGGTGCGGACCCAGAGGGATTTCCACACCTTTAGGGTTTATAGAGACCCTACCAGGGGCCTCAGGCAGGTGCTAAACATAACAGCAGAAGTACGGTAAGGGAATCTCTCGGAATCTCTCCGTAACCTGTGCCTGCTCTACCTTCTTTTCTTACTGAAGAGCAATAGGCATGGGCTATTTTACTTATGCATGGTCCACGGTTCTATGGAGAATGCTTTAACGGAGCTCGCTCCTTTTTCTGCAAGACACAGAGCTCCCCGAGGGAAGGAAACTGTGCCTCAACTTCTCTTTGAGTCCCTGGGACCTAACCCAGGGCCTGGGATGCTATGGTAGAAGAATCGGGGTTTGAATCTTTGCTGTGTGACCTCTGGCCGGTCATTTGACCTTTCTGAGGTTTGGTTTCTTCATCTGAAACATGGTGCTCATATCTACATCCACATTGGGAGAAGAACTATGTTTAATGTGCTTATTACAGTACCTGGCCACAGGAAAGAAAGTAATAATTGTCACCAGCATCATCAACATCATCGTCATCATCTGCGTTGGCATTTCCCATTGGTCTCCCCTCCTCACGGTTATGTTGAGACAGTTCTGGTTCTACAACCGAATTGACTACAAAAATGGCTTAATCATTTATCCACCAAAGACACCCACCCCCCTGTTTTGGGTGCAAATCCTGAGTCCCACCGTCTATAGACGTTGTTAGAGCTGAACATACTTTTTCATTATCAGAGAAGAAGATCCCCTTCTTGTTCCTCTGCCACCTCCTCCTGCTCTGGGTCTGTCCCAGTGGGTCCTGATGGAATGTAATCTTGCATGGCAGGTGAAATTGACACCTGAAATCAAATTTAGTTCCCGATTCCCAACGGGGCAAGCCTGGCCAGAGACAAAAGGCCGGTTTCTTCCAAATCAGTTCTGTCCTCAGCAGGTCCTCCAAGCCTCAGAGGCTCCATCTGCACAATGGGTCTCTAGAAGATGAATGAGTGACGGGAGGGCTCGGACCACCCATGTTCTCACTTGCACCAACCTCTGCAGGGAGGGGCCCTCGGCCACGGGGCTGCTGGCCAACAGTGTGCAGAGGCTGAACTTGACCCGATGGGCTTCAGTAGAGAAAAACCGACTGACTGGAGACCCCTTCTGCAAATTCTGATCAAATACACCATCTGGTGCGGCTGCGTCCAGTTGGGTTTTACAGTCTACCTGTTCCAGAGCTCAGTCAACTGCGGCTGGCGGGTAGGGGGAAGAGGAGGCTTTAGGGGGATGCAGGGACCTGCCACGGGATTCCTGGGGAGAGAGCGGTTAGGGACAAGGCTGGCAGGAAGCAGGAAAGACCGCAAAGGGGAAGAGGCAGCCGCAGGAAGAGGTGGCTGAGGATTGTCACCAGGCCTCAGGGAGCAGGGGAAGGATTCAGAACCAGAAAGGAATCGGACTCAGCCAAGCGACCCGACTTGGAAAACTGGCATGGTCCCCACAGAAGGAAAAAGGAGAGGTGAGGAGGAATAACGGTGGCAGCCACTGTCACTCAGTGCTGTGCCAGGGGGCGTCATAGGGCATCCTCGCCATAGCCCAGAGGGTCGGTGTTGGATCATCCTCCTTAGACAGAGCCCGGGATGGAGACCCAGGGGGGTGACTTCACAGCATCCCCCCCCCCCACCGGCTCTCTCTCTCTCTCTCTGCGGGGCTTTGAAGTCTCCATGCCTGTGCAGGAAACTTACTGGGTGTTCCTAAGTGGGCTAGAATCAGGTCAGGAGGCAGAGGAGAGGGACAGAATTTGAGGTGAAGGGGAAGAGGCAAATGGAGCCCCCCAAGCCAGAACCAGGAGGGTTCGGGGACCAGAAAAATGCTGAGCAGGCCAGAGAACCCAGAGACACCTGGAACTGGCCCCAAGGAAAACTACCCACCCCCAGTCCACCTCCTTGCCAGTCCCTGTTGTCATAGCAACCGGAGGTGAAGGAGCAAGCTGGGGTTTTTCCAGAGTCCTTGGAAGAATGGTGCCAGCCAACCGCGCCCCAAGGCCATCAGAAACAATCATAGAGGGTGTCCCTGAGGACAGGAAGGCATAGCTCTCCCTGAACCGGAGGTTTTCCTAAAACAATCACAGGATCAACAACCAGCAGCATTTATCCGGTGGTTTATTTAATAGGACGCTCACACGGAGTCACCCATTTCATTTTCACCCTATGAATTAAGTAAGAAGACCATCCCCACTTAACCAATACGATATCTGAGGCTCTGAGGGGCGATGGCACTTGCCTAAGGACACAGAGCTTCCAAATGGCAGAGCCAAGATGGGAATCCAGGTTTGCTTGACTCCAAGGGCTGCACGCGATGCACGTCCCTCCCCAGCCCTGCTGCAAGAGCTCACCTCCCTCCTCTAGGGACAGGGTCGGCTGAGCACCAGGGAGAGGAGCATGGTGTCCCTACAGCTCACAAGCTGTGCGACCTTGGGTGGGTGACGTCACCTACCAGAGCCTCAGTCTCCTCACCTGTAGAATGGTAACAGGTCATAGAGTTCTTGGGAGGATCCTGGATGCAGGAAGTGTGCCCATGGGGCCTACTGCTCCCCCTTGGGGGGGGGGGCGTCTTGTGGTCCTTTATTCCCCAGCTTCATTTTTCCTACAGGGCTGGTCACAGGACAGCCATTCAGTAACGGCTCCCTCTGAAAACACACCAGCGAGCATGCGTGCCTGCGTGGGAATACAGGGACACACAGGAAGCTCCTGCTTATCTCTGAGCTGTGGCCCTTTATCTCTCTCTTTGCTTATCTGCATTTTGGGACTTTCCCTTAAGCAGCATGCATTATGGGTGGCCCTAGGGAAAACACACCCTAATGACACTGCAGGTCACTTCTGGGGAACAGAGGGGGCAGGAAGGATAGTTAATTCTGGCAGGGGTGTGGGGGGAGTGTCTTAAAAATCTTCATATACATCCTGACTTCTGTGTTTATTTTGCGATTTTTTATTTAGAGAAAAACAAGCCATGCGACTTGTTATGGCGGAAATACCTCCAGCAAGCCAAGAGCTTGCCTTCTCATGCTGGCGGAGCCGCTGAGTTACTTCTCTGACCCTTGGTTTCTTCATCTGTAAAATGCAGATGCAAATGCTACCTTGGAGCACTTATTGTAAGGATTAGAAATACATGTTAAAAACTCAGTATATAATAAGTGATCAGTAGTTTAAAGCAGTTATCAATAGCTTATTGGGGATATTTTTTTCTGTGGGTTAATTTTGCATTAGCAAAGAACAAGGATGAAAAATAAACCTTTGCCAAACACCTAATCAAAACTCTACATCTCGCCACAGTGAAAAAGACATCTGAAAATGTCAGATGTATTTAGTCTGGGCATCGTGGTGGCTCACACCTGTCATCCCAGCAGCTCAGGAGGCTGAGGCAGGAGGATCCCGAGTTCAAAGCCAGCCTCAGCAACGGTGAGTCACTAAGCAACTCAGTGAGACCCTGTCTCTAAATTCAAAATACAAAATAGGGCTGGGGATGGGGCTCAGTGGTCAAGTGTCCCTGAGTTCAAGCCCCAGTACTAAGGGGAAAAAAAGTAAGATATATTTAAAATAAAATACCTACTGATATCCTCTCACGCCAAACTTGATGCCTTTGAGTCCCTTAGACTCTACCTCTCACGACAGACCGACTAATTAGCCAATTTTTCATTGCTTGACAAAAAGGTTGGAAAAGAACCACTTAGAGGTAGAAATGTTTATTTTGCTTCACAGTTTCAGAGTCAGCATGGCTGGCTGACTCCATAGCCCTGGGCCTGCGATGAGGAAGAGCATCATGGAGGAAGGGCCTGGGGGAAGGAAGCTGCTCAGGACAAGGCAACCGGGGAGCAGAGAGAGCTCTGCTCACCAGGAACAAAGTATAAACAGCCCCCAGTGACCTATTTCCTCCAGCCACACTCTACCTACTTAGAGTTACCACCCAATCCACTAAAGTGGATTAATCCACTAAGGTGGATTAACCCACTGATTGTTTACAGCTCTCATAATCGAATCATTTTACCTTTGGATATTCATTGTGTTGTCTCACACCTGAGCTTTTGGAGGAGAAAACACATCTAAACCATGACACTGAACTTGGAATTCTCCAAGAAGTCAAGAAAAATCTGGACATTTATTTTCTTCTTGTACTAGTCGACCACAAAGCCCTCCTCCGAAAGCAAAATACACCAAGACCCCTCCCCATCCCCCCCGAATCATGAGAAAGTGAGCTTTGTTCCAGCTGCATATGTCGGCAGTGCCTGAGCTAATCTTCCCTCGGGTCTTCGGGAATTCGCTGGACTGTTGACCCAGCTGCCCTACACATGCTCACAAAATCCGTCTGCCAAAGCTCATTACCATTTAGGTTTCTGTGGTGCTAATCTGGGTCCTTTATTTTCTGGTGTCAATTTAAAGCATTTTCTCACCTCTGTAGGAATGCTTCCACAAGCTAGAGCTTTAAAAAATAATAATTAAAAAAAAAAACAGTGAATTGCAATGGATTTTGTGACAAATTGCCTCAAATTAAAATGTTTGGTCTCATCTCTCATTTCATTTCCAAATGATTACTAGCAACTGCCAGTAGGATCTGTTAGAAAGGAGGCTGAGACTATTTTCAGGCAAAACAACAAAGTATCGAAAAATACCCTAACGGGCTGGGGATGTGGCTCAAGCGGTAGCGCGCTCGCCTGGCATGCGTGCGGCCCGGGTTCGATCCTCAGCACCACATACAAACAAAGATGTTGTGTCCGCCAAATACTAAAAAATAAATATTAAAAAAAAAAAAAAATTCTCTCTCTCTCTACCTATATCTCTCTCACTCTCTCTTTAAAAAAAAAAAAAAAGAAAAGAAAAATACCCTAACCAGCAGCTTGGGAGGCTGAGGCAGGAGGATGGCGAGTTCAAAGCCAGCCTCAGCAAAAGTGAGGCCCTAAGCAATTCAGGGAGACCCTGTCTCTAAATAAAATTTCAAAATAGGGCTGGGGATGGGGCTCAGTGGTCGAGTGCCCCTGGGTTAAATTGCTGGTAACCCTCCCAATCAAACAAACAAAAAAACACCATAGCCTTGAAGAATTAATGTTTTCTGCTAATGGATTGCTAATATTTGCAGTGGCATGAAATCAAAGGCTGTTGGCGTATCTGACATCCCAAAATCTAAGTAAGTACTTTTTTTCTTGCACGCCAAAGGAGCAAATTGGTATAAATGCCGTGTGGTAACATGTGACAGTGATAACGGCAATTATGTATGGAGTATCACCACAAGCTGAGGTTTACAGACATCATATGCCTTATAGCAAGTCCCCAGTTATCAGGACAGTTTTGGCTGTAAGTATCAGAGAGCCAATTTACACTAGCTTAAGCAAAAGGGGACTGTCTGGGCTTGTGTGATTGACAGGAGGACTGAGTTCACAGGAAGAGGAACCAGCACCGGTGACTGGCTCATGCGACGTCCTCTCTGTACTTGTCTGGGTCTGTGTTTGCCTGTTGACTACATTCCCTCCCACGACCCAGAGGCCTTTCCCATTCCACGATGTTACTTTCCCCCCAGCCTGTGTGCATCAGTTGCAGGGAAAACTCTGATTGGATGGTTTAGGTCACATGCCCATTCCTTGGACCAATCACAGTTTGTTGCAGATGGTTTGGCCAGAATCAGGTTATATTGTCATCCTTTGGGCCAAGGAATCTGTGTCTGCTGGTAGAAGAAGGGTATTAAAAAAAAAAAAAAAGCTTAATAGGCAGAAGAAAACAGGGCCTAGCCCATGCTGCCCAAGGGCTTCAAGCTGAGAGGTTGTGCTCTGCTCAGGAAGCCAGAGCCCCGGGCTTTTTCTAATTCATCAACAGCTTTATATGGACCCTGAGCAAAAGCAAAGGCTACCTCAGGCCACAACAAACCCTGGGAGATAGATAATGATCACTTCATCTTTAAGATGAGAAAACCGAGCCCATAGATGTAGTCACTTACCCAAAGTTGGAATCAGCAAAGCCAGGATTCAAACCCAGGACTGACTAGCTCCCAAATCCTTGCTTTCCTCCTAATAACCCACTCAACCTTCTGGGAGAAGAGAGGGGCTTACCAGGGTCCTAACAGCACGAAGAAGCCAGACAACAGGATTGTTTGAGCTTCTTCCCTCTGAAAACCCGGCGAATCCCACAGGAACAGACAATCCACTCCGGAAAGCTAAACCAAGCCCGAGACAAGACACTCCACTAAAACCCATGTTTGCAAACAGCTTGAAAGTCATGGTGTTTCACTTAAAAAGGTAATTTCTTGCTTGGAACAGTGAGAAATTAGATGCAATCTGTTTTGATTTCTTCCCAATTTAGGACACGCTTTGGTGACCAATTTGAAGATGTGCCAGCATCCCTCTGTCTTGGGGACATGTTCGCTTGGTTTATGTCTCTGTTCGTAAAGGACATCTAAATCAGCCCACAGGCGAAGCAGCCCAGAATACATACAACCAATGTGGGGCCAGGCTGGAGCTGCCACTTCCTGGCTATTATTATTCATAAGGATATAATAATAATAATAATTACCATTCACTGTCCTGGTGCTAAAGACATCGCTGCCCCACAGCCTGTTGGAAAGTCGGGGTGGATGGGCATCTCCCCTTATAAACATCTAGACATTTTTCCTGTTCAGGGACAATTCCCCCATTAAGAGGTTCTTGGTGGCAGCTGTCCTGACCTAGGAACAGCTCTGGAGGGGAGGTTGACCCGGATGTGAATGTCAGTTTCCCCATGTACCCAACAGTGACCCATTGCAAGTTACTTAACCTCTCTCTGGGTCTCCACTCCCTCACCTGGACACTGCAGGAGGCCATTGTGACTGCAACGTGGAATTCTGGTGCACATTAAAGAAATCATGCGTGGATCGCACACGGAAACCACTGGATGCGTGCTAGCAGTTACATTTGCTGCTGTTATGACTTGAGTTGGTTAACGCCTTTCTAGAGCATCACGTTTTATAGGGGGCTATATGACCATCCAGTGGGATTCTGATTGCTTTGTCACCTCCCCATCCCCCAGAGCCGTGGTTGAGAGGAAATGGAAGAAGAGGGATCCTTCTGCCAGTTGCCACGGGGTGACTTCAAAAGCCAGGCATTTACTGGGTCTTTCTCTGTGTCTCAAACAGCCCCCAAGTCCCCAGCACCACGCAGCGAGGGCTCAACCTGTGCTCATTGATCATGCTAATGACGATGGATTTCCTTTCTTTGCCACTTGATCACCAGCTGCCCAGGGTTTTATCACCATTTGCCAGGGCAGAGCCGGCCACCCCCACCCCTGCCCCACAGCCTTTTCTTCTCACTCTGTGTCACCCAGAACACAGCCAATTAAAGAACTCATTCATTGCTCTCCCCTCCACCCCTTTAATTACAAAAAAGCTCCGAGAGTTGAATAACAGAGAACAAAAGGCAGATTTATTTACCCCAGGACATAAACAAGATTATCAGAAATAAGCATTCAGAAGTCCTTAGCTCCTGGGAGAATTTTAATGCGCTGACCCCGGCTTTTGAGAAATCTTAGGTCTTTTCACATAATTATAAAATCCCCAGGGGCTTTGCCTGCCTGAGTTGTTGGCTGGCACACATTAGCCAGCTTGGCCTTTGCTCTCATTGGCCCATGATAAGCATCTCCATC